TCTCTCTCTCTCTCTCTCTCTCTCTCTCTCTCTCTCTCTCTCTCTCTGTCTCTCTCTGTCTGTGTGTCCATCCACAGATCATGTTTGGGAAAGGGGAGTGGGTGGTCGGCTCGGTAGAATACGAGAAGAAGAATGATTTGCCACTCTACGTCATCATCCCTGCTGTCATTGTCCCCATGCTGCTCATCATCGCCATCTCTGTCTACTGCTACAGGTGAGTTAAGCTATTTTGGGTTAGCATATACTATTTTACCTCGCTTTTAGACATCTGAACCTCTTGACCCTACTGGTAAATGTCACATAATACTCAGTTTAGGCCTTTTTTTAAATGTTGTGATTTTACACCGTTTTTAATTAGATACCTACATTTTTCTTGCTGGAGGGGCCATTTGTGTGTGTTGTTTAGCAAAAAACATTCGTCAGCTAATGTTAAACTTACAAACCCACAATATTTTGAAGCCAGTGGTTCCCAGACTTCTGTCTTGTGACCCCCTTAACCCTTAAAATTGGCCTTGCAAAATCAATTTTTCTTGCAATACTTTTTTTACTTGTCTTGTGACCTTTTAAAACCCATTTTGTAGAAAAGTATTGATGTGCCAAAAACTGGGCTTGCACATTTAATGAACGGGACGTTACTTAAGTTCGGGGTTAATTAGATGTCAGAGAGATGTACAGTAACACCCTGTTTGACCACAAACCCATACACCTAAACCTAACCACCTACAATGACGCATATTAATGCAAATATGGTATTTTTCTCAAACTGTATTGTCATAATATTATACTGCTTTTAATTTGACCAAATCAGTCTGTGCATCCTAGAAGTTCTCAAAAACTTTGCTCATTTTCAGCTGAATATTTATAAAACACCTACATCAGTGACAAAGTAATACCAGCGCTAATAATATATTTTTGGGAGACTCAAAGGAAACACTGTGGCTAAGTTATCAGCCAACTGTGCCAACTCAAACCAGAGTCTTTAAACAACAATTAGATCTCTGAAACCTTTCATTTTCTTTCTTTTTTTTTTGTTTTTACGACACACGTGTTGTGTTTGTTTAATGTGTTCAGGAGAAAGAGTCAGCAGGCAGAGAGGGAGTACGAAAAGGTGAAACATCAGCTTGAGAATCTGGAGGAGAGCGTGCGGGACCGCTGCAAGAAAGAATTCACAGGTACCAACAGTGCAAAACCTCACCAATATCGCTAATGTCCCTCAAAGGATCTATGCTTCTAAGAAGCTATAAAGCAATGAAGTGCTTCATAGCTCTGATTACATTTCTTGGATGTATTGTACGGCAGTGAATTAAATAAATTCTCCTGCTTAACATCATGTTATCATCATTATTAGGAGCAGTTTTGCAGTAACAGTAATAGAAAACAATCTTTCACAGCTGAAATAATTTTCCTGGCAAAGCTCTCCCTTTCACTGCCTCTCGCAACATAATGATTGAGACAGACGAGCAGCACACAAATGAGAAAAGCTGCTTATTAAAAAGGAATGAGGTACTATTTTCTTGTTTTTATCTCGCAGACTTGATGATCGAGATGGAGGACCACACCAATGAACTGAGCGAGGGACGAATCCCCTTCCTGGACTACAAAACCTACACCGAACGCGTCTTCTTCCTGCCCTCTAAGGACGGTGCCAATGATGTGATGATCACAGGAAAGCTCGACATCCCAGAGGCTCGACGGGCCACAGTGACTCAGGGGCTCAACCAGTTCTCCAACCTCCTGAACTCAAAGACCTTCCTCATTACTGTAATTATACTGCACAATCATGTGAATATGTGAAATATGTCAATGTCAATCAACTTTAAGTATTGGGAGCCGTGGGCAGCTACTATAGAGCACCCAGGGGACAGTCTGGTCAAGGGGCGAACTGGTTTAGACACTCATGGTTCTCAGATGATGTATCTTAATGACTTTGGTGATCCTGTGGGTTTTCCTCTAACGTCATCAGCTTTTGTGCTTCTGAGTGAAATGTTTAATATTGAATAGAATTTGATATGCGTTTCTAGTTTATCCGTACCCTGGAGCGCAGTCAAGACTTCAACGCCAGGGCCAAGGTGTACTTTGCATCCCTGCTGACGGTGGCTCTGCACGGGAAACTGGAATACTACACCGACATTATGAGAACACTGCTGCTGGAGCTGATTGAGGAATACGTCCACAGCAAGAACCCTAAACTCATGTTGCGCAGGTGAGTGAGGAGTCCCTCAGTGCTGCTGCACAGTACATACTGGAGCAGTCGGATACAATGTCAAAACGCCAGTGCCAAGTTTAATATCCAAGATGTTTTGTGCTGCTAAAATGTCCAGGGCCAGATTGATGCATCTCAAAAACTATTGAATGGATCACCAGGAAATTTTGTACAGACATTCATGGTCCCCACAGGATGACTCTCACTGACCATGGTGAACATCAGACTTTTCATTAAGAACCATCAGCAGGTCAAAGTCTTCACTCATGTAGTGAAATGCCTACATCTACAGGATGGATTGACACTAAATGCATGGCTCCCATAGTTCAAATCCTAATGACGTTAGTAATCCCTGACTTTTTTCTCGAGCGCCACCGTGAGGTTGGTATTTTTAGTTCTATGTAAAATATCTTGTCAGAGCTCTCGTAGATTGTCAGTACAATCTGTCTTGTACTGACTCTTGTTTGGCACATTTTGCCCTGATATCATTAATGTCCTTATATCTAAGCTCTGCAATCAGAATCACGACATATCTCAACCCTGGCAGCAGTATAATAACCATTATATGAGGACTGGGATTCACTTCAAGAGGCAGTGGACTGTTTCATTGTGTTGCCATGTTGTCTGTTGAATTTTGCACTGACTACTGTAGTCCACTACCAAGAGCCAGACTGCTGCTTGATCTGTTCCAGTCCTCTTCCTTCTGTTTCTCCTTCTGTGTTTTTTTTTTTTTTCCTCCAAGCACAACGTGCTGTGTGATTCTCCTTTTACTGTTCCCCTTCATCATCCTCTTTATCTTCTTAACCTATAGATCTTGACCAATTGGGTGAATAGGCTGAAAATTGCTTTTGGTCTATACGGTTTTTGATTGCCCTGAATACATAAATCCAATTTATATTGGCTTTCTGTAAGTTGCTTTGTGGCTTAATCTTGTACCAGGAGGATTTTTCAATGGATGCTGTATCTCTTAAAAAATGCTGAGCCTGTTTTATTGCATGAATAAGCTCCAGCTCTCAATCCTGATCAGAACAAACTCATCAACTGAAGTGTACATCACCTGCACCCAACATCTACTCTGATCTGAATTATATTTTAATAATTGAGAGATCAATTGTTATATTACAAAAAATAGCAATGCATGGGTCATAAATTCTTCAAAAATGTTTGTGATTCGCATGACACTATTATCACAAATTAATTGGTATTTTTAGGATGTTGCCAAAACAGCAAATGTTTTTCACTGATACTGCGTAATATTAATTGCTGTTTTCTCCCTTGGCAACATCTCATAATGCCTTTGTAGAATTAGAGTCTTTCAACATTCAGCTGACTAATTTGACTGAAGTAAATAGCCCTCAGAAAAGAATCTCAAATTCTAGCGTTCTTGGTTCTTCACCCTCTCCACCGCTGTAATGATCATGTCACGGTCAAATCATCCACTGACGGCGTCCTCCTCCTCCCTCAGCAGGACCCACTTGTCTGAACGTACAGTCGCTCATCACTGCTGGGAGGGGGTTATGTGAATTGAACTGTCTGCTGTGGCTAGGCACGCTGTGACTAGCTGTTGTGCAAGTACACAATCTTAATTATCCCCCAATGGAGAGGCTCATTATGCTGATTAGGCCATTGTGCCAACACAAACCCCCTTATATACAAGACATCTAATTAGGCATGCTAGCAGCTAACGATAGGCGCCGACGGTGGGTATGTGACATTAGCATTGGCGATCTGTCAAGTGACCACTGACGTGATTTTTTTATTTTTTTTTATTAAAATATCCTGACATCCTGACATGCTGTGCAGGAATTTCCCTTGTTGACATTTTGTAGATGCATATTCTTAAGAAAGTAGTATTTCAACATTTTAAGAGAATACAATGAACATAAAACACAATAAACACCAAAAACATATTACAAAATATGTACAGACAAATGCTAAAAACCCTTATATGAGCTCACATTACATACATTACAAGTAGTGACTATTTATCAGATCAGGGATTCTTAGCTCATGGATTCAGAATTTAAGTGTCATGATTTGATTTTGAAAATTAGATATTTCATTTTTTTTTCCTGAATTTTCTAATCAAATTATGTTTGCACAACTTATTAACATACAGCATCAATACACCAGAATGATTTAGTTGTATTCTTACAATGATATTAACAGCTGTCCATCTAATGTGTTTTTCCAGATCAGAGACAGTGGTGGAAAGGATGCTATGTAACTGGATGTCTATCTGCCTTTACCAGTTTTTGAAGGTAACAAGAGTTTATGGTCACTAAAAATGTATCATATGTATTTGCATATATACTTAATTGCTGATACAGAAAATATGTATAATGACATGCTACAGCATTAAACTGTGGGCTAAGTGCATGGATTTCTACATTTCTTTCGTTAGTGCTCTGTATTGATAATGTGCATGTATCTGTCTTCTAAACTGCTAACCACAACAATTAGCTCCTTGACAACATCTGAGACGTCTAAAGGGGTGTGTGTGTGTGTGTGTGTGTGTGTGTGTGTGTGTGTGTGTGTGTG